AATGTAGGGGCCTTAATAATGAGAAGAGGGCTTTTGGGGGTTCCTTTAAAGGGTTTAGGGTTTAGGGTTTAGGGTTTAGGGTTCCTTACAGGGTTTTATACGGGCTACTAGACGGGTTTAGGGTTTAGGGGCCGTAATAGTTAGAATAGGGCTTTTCTTGGGGTGTATTAGACGAGCTAACTATAATAAGGAACCCCCCCAAATAGTATTGGGAATTATTTAGGTTTCTACATTAATTAAGGAAGTAACCTTGAACCAGATTATTAAGGCCCCTAGAATTTAATACATGCACCTTAGTTGAGGGGTCTTGGGTTCTTTGGAGGGGGCTCTTGAGGAGACAAGGAACCCTAAACCCTAAACCCTAAACCCTAAACCCTACACCCAAAACCCAAAACCCTAAATCCTAAACCCTGTTTGGGGTTTGCCGGAAGAAATAGTAACATTGTTGCTTAGGGTTCGGTCGAGCAGCCTTCAAACCGATACTACCTGCGGTTTAGGGTTTACGGTTTAGGATGTAGGAGTACTTCATTTAAGTATCATTTAGGACCTGTAAGACGGGGCCCTGAAGAATTAGAGCAGGGTTGGGGGGCCCAACAACGCAGAAGCCCCAAAACCCTCGCGCTTGCAAGGAAAGTGCAACTAAACCCTAAACCCTAAACCCTAAGCCCTAAGCCCTAAACCCCCCAAACCCTAAACCCTAAGCTCGAAGTTGAATCCTGATCCCTAGAAGCCCTCGGGACGTTCCGCGGAATTCCGCCCATTATGTGACGAATTCTTCAGCGCCAGAACCAGGGTCTAGAGCTACTTGAGAAGTGCCGGTTTAGGGTTTAGGGTTTCAGCGCTTTTGGGAGAGAGTGCCCAGGCCCTCTTTGAATGGGCCACGCAGGAGCTGGCTGCATTTCAGGCACGGTGCTTCAGGGCCTCCCGAAAACTTTCATGTCTTACGCACTTCTTTCCCCTAAACCCCTCAAGCCCTCAAGCCTAAGCCTAAAACCGTCAAGCTTGAACCCTGGAGCCGCAAAGCAGAGCTTAAAGAGATCATGGAACCTATACTCTAAAGCACCCTAAGGTTCCCCAACCCCAAATCGTAAACCTTGAATCCTATACAGTCCTTTTAGGGATTGGGTTTAGAGTTTAGGGGTTTGCGATTTAGGGTTTAGGGATTGGGTTTTAGGGAGTTAGGGGTGTAGCATGGGAGCCTGAATTTTCTTAGTAGGGTTTGGGGTCTGTGGGCAGCTTCGGAGAGCGTGGAAGGCCTGGCACTCGTGCTTTGCCGAAGGGCTTCTGAACTCGTCAGCAACTTCGGCCATCGTCATCGTTATCATCTCAGAAATCATCACGGTCATCACCCTCATCATGATCATCGTCGCGATCTTCATCACCAGCGTCACTGGCATCAGCGTCAGCATGAGCATCAATATTGTCGTCAGCTACAAGCCCTAAACCCTAACATAGGGGCCTTAATCATTAGAATAGGGTTTGGGGTATTTTGTACTATATTTGTAAAATTGTAATAGGGAGCCCTCAAAACCCTATTCTAATTATTAAGGCCCCTATATTAAACCCTAACCCTAAACCCTATCAGCAGCGACCCTAAACCCTAAACCCTAAACACTAAACCCTAAACCGTGGGTGTGTGCAGATCCGAATCTACAGCACCACCCCCTGCTCTGGTTGGCGCAGCCGCGTAGATGAGCCCCTCGTCAGGAGGAGTATCGCGGGAGCCAAGGGGAGCCCATGTATTCGGACCCTATCTCCTGATCACTAAATTGTAAAGCCCAAGCCCTCAACCCTAAATCCTAAACCTTAAACCCCAAAAAACAACCCTAAATTTTAAATCCTAAGCCCTAAACCCTAAACCCTAAACCCTAAACCCTAAACCCTAAACCCGAAATCCTGTACCCTAGATCCCCAAACCCGGATCCTCTGAAAGATCCCTTAAAAGGAACCCTTGGGTCTCTTCGGTGGTCATGTTGGCGTACGTTTACTGCACCTCCGTCGCAGGTTTTTAGGGTTTAGGGTTTAGGGTTTAGGGTTTTTTAGATCAAAGCAACTAGTAAGTATATTTCAGTGTCTATATCGTAAAAAATACCATGCTATCGTAGCACAGCTAGAAGAGAAACACCAGAGTGAAGCATAAGTGCCACTGGCTGGAGCAAAAATGGGGTATACTCATACTCTATTCATACAGTAGTAGACTTGTATAAGGCTTACACTGTAACTTACACTACAAGTCTAACAGGGTAGAGACTATGGGGTAGTGTTGCTTGCAACCTTGTTTCAATCGTTGACCCCTCTTCGTGGCTTAGGCTTATGCTAATTACGATAAGATGATGCTAGGATTAGCACCAGTGCCAAGATCTGAGTGGCATAGTCGATGCAGCGTAACAGTACTTGGAGGGTCGGGAGACTTATCAGTACCCTAAAAGGGACCCTAATT